TGGTGATGGTGGTAATGATGATGATGATGGTGATGATGGTGGTGATGGTGGTGATGATGGTGGTGATGATGGTGATGATGATGGTGGTAATGATGATGGTGGTGATGGTGGTGATGATGGTGGTAATGGTGGTAATGGTGGTGATGATGGTGATGGTGGTGATGATGATGGTGGTAATGATGATGATGGTGATGATGGTGGTGATGGTGGTGATGATGGTGGTGGTGATGGTGATGATGGTGGTAATGATGGTGATGATGATGGTGGTAATGATGATGATGATGGTGATGATGGTGGTGATGATGGTGGTGATGATGGTGGTGGTGATGGTGATGATGGTGATGATGATGGTGGTAATGATGATGATGATGGTAATGATGGTGGTGATGGTGATGATGATGGTTGGTGATGGTGATGGTGGTGATGATAATGATGGTGGTGATGATGGTGGTGATGGTGGTGATAATGATGGTGGTGGTGATGGTGGTGATGGTGGTGATGATGGTGGTGGTGATGGTGATGATGGTGGTAATGATGGTGATGATGATGGTGGTAATGATGATGATGATGGTAATGATGGTGGTGATGATAATGATGGTGGTGATGATGGTGATGATGGTGGTAATGGTGATGATGGTGAAGGTGATGATGGTGATAATGATGGTGGTGATGGTGGAGAAGCTAATGGTGGCAGTGATGATGTGGCTGTGGTAGTGATGGATGTGGTGATAGCGATGATGGTAGTGGTAATGGTGATGGTGGTAGATAGGTGAGGGTGGGGGGTGAAGAAAACATTTACTGAGCATTCTCTGAGCCTGGAACTACTTCTTGTAATTCTACAACCAATCCTATGAGGTGATTAACATTATTGTCCTTAATTTCTCAATGAGAATGAGAAGCAAGAGGTTGCTCCCTGAGCCCTGCCCCCAATAGAAACAGTGAGCTAGGACTTGAACGCAGGTGCCCTAACTTGATGCCCTTGTTCTGACCTCCTGTACCACCGCAGCATTTACCAAAGCCACAAGCAAAGCAGGATCGGAAGCCCCAGTGCCCGACTTGACCTGCAGCTAGTGGGACGGGAGTAGGCAGTGTCAGATGGCTTGATAAGCAAGGTAGGCATGGGCTCACTTGTGTTTATTTACTAATCTCGAGTGAAATTTCACGTTTTCACCACATCAAAGATTCTGCTTCTAGGTCTAGCTGGCATCTGTCTCTCTCCCCACCTCAAAGCACCTGCCTACAGAAGCCAAGCCTCTTTTCAGATTGACAGTCCCTGGCAGAGATAGAGGACTCAGGAGACCAGGTTAGCATGAGCTTCCTTGTGTTCTCTTATGACTGTGTAGTAAAGAGTTTCTCATGCTCACTACAAAGATACGAGGAAGCTCATGGGCAATTGTTCCCTATAGATTAGCAAGTCCGCACAAGTAAGCTTATGTTGATCATGTTTACTGGGTCCTCTGTCCCAGAAGAAGAGCCAGGTTGAGGTCATGGTCCCCCAGCTCTGGACCTATACCCTTGCCCCTGCAAGAGCTGCTGAGCTGGGAGGAGGAGGAGGAACCAGGAGAATTGGGGAATTGCTGGGGTGTGGGGCCTGAGGGGCCTGTACTTAGCTGGATCCCAGGCCCAGAGGTACCAGTGAGTTTAGCTGTCTCCATCGGAAGTTACCCGGAACCCCAGGAAGGCAGGACTAGAGGATGGACCAGAAATGCTAGCCAAGGTTTCTTACATGGAAAATCTGGTTGGAGATCTTGGCGGAGCTACGGAAGTCCCAGGCGATGATGGTGCGGTCAGCGGAGTCCCGGCTCGATGCATCTGTGCTGCTCAGAAACTCAGAGCCTTCCTGGAGGAAGAGGATGTCCAGGGTCTGCTGAACAGTCGCTTTGTAGCCTCTCACCACCTGCAAGAGTGGCCCCGACAGGTGGTACCCTGGCTTCCCCACTAGCGATGTCTGTCCCTCAAGACCTGCTCCAGCCCTACCTGACCACCTCCCCTGGGCCCCTGCAGTGTCATGAGCTCAGGTTAGAGGTGACTCCCAGGGAGAAGGGTGCTACAGAGGCCCACGCCTGCCCAGGGGGCCCAAGTGCATGGTAGTAAAAGAGTCCTTTGCCTCGGCCTTTGTCTCCAGAGAGATATATGCCAAGCAGGGAGCAAGTGTCCTTGAAAGCCGAGAGACCCAAGTCCCAGCAGCATAATTCTGCTCTGAAGACACCTTTTCTTTGCTCAGCTTCGTCACCAATATTTCACAGCCCTTCCCTCATAAATCCCCATCATTAAGTCCAAGTAGTTGTTTTGCTTTCTCTAGGGTATGTTCTCACATTGCCCATCCATTCCCAAATAACTGGTTTTGGGGTGGGGGGAGAGGGGGAGTTGGTAACAAGACTAACAAATTCCTCCACTTCACAAATGCATGGACAACACGAAATTGTCATGCTGAAATCTGCGTCAGAGGCTCAGGGTGCTGGGTCACCGACTGACCAGTTTTCCAGTGGCTGGGGCGCCACCATGTGGCAACACATAAACACGGCCCTCGGTCCCTCAGTCCTGCCTGCTGGGAAAGGACCCAAGTCTTGACAGATTGAGGAACAAACACGAACACACCAGGAGTTAATGTCCTTTCCGTTTTGCACATGAAGTGAGACTTCCTGTCATTCCCTTTCAAATGTGTCTAGGGACAAGAAATACAGTCCTCCGTAACTTAAGACTGGGGTTCTGAAACCCATTCTCCAGATGAGGAAGCTTGAGGCTCTGAGCTGTAGGAATCACCCTGGAGTCATTTTGGTAGGATCCCCCCACAAGAGTGTCACTAATGACTCCACCGTGAGCTGACGCCCCAAGAAGCGACATGCCAGGGGCAGCACAGCCAACTGTCCACAGCGGACCTGCCTCCCTGGACAGCCCCTGCAGGGGAGGGAGGCTGTGGTTCTGCACGTTTCTGAGAACAGAATAAATGGAAAACCAGCTGTGTTCTGGGTAATTGAGCCAATACCGCACTAAGAGAGAGGCCGGCTACTGGGGGGCTGACTCACCTGCAGGACTGCATGTGCCCCGAAGGGAGTCAGGGACCACTGTGTGTCTACAGTGGGCTTCATGGCAGCCTTACACTGACAACTGCTCATCCCATCCCAGATCACTAGCTGGAGCTGGTGAGCCTTCCAGGGACTCTTCCAGAAACAGGGTCTCTTTCAGGTGAGTGGAAGCTGGGCCACAGGTCACCAGCTTTGGGGAAAGTGGAGGAAACGTGGCCACGACACACATCGGGGAGGAGGAAAGTGATAAAACTGAAGATAACTAGAAACAATTAGTCTAATGAACTAATAGACCATGTGAATATCAGTCTACACAACACTGAGACCAGAAGACCTAAATGGTGCCCAGCTCCCACTACCAACTGCTCTGAAAGGGTCCTGGGTAGAGTGGGAGAAAAAAGTAGATCAAAATTCAAAATCATTTAAAAAAAAAAACAAAAAACACCAGGCTTACTGGTCAGATAGAAACTGGTGGAACCCTGGGACTATGGTCCTTGGTCACCCTTCAGGTCTGGAACTGAACCCACCCCCATGGCTCAATTTTCAGACAAATGATAGGTCTATAAGAGGAACAATCACACTAGGCAGGTACACACTCCTCAGAATAATCAGCTATTTGAGATTTTAAAGGCAGCTTTTACCTAAAGACAAAATCAGGAAAGAAGGAGGAGTGGAAAAACAGTAAACACAGGAAGGCAGGGGGACGAATGATGTTACATTGTGGGGATCGCAATCAGTGACATGAAACAAAACATGCATAAATTGTTTCATGGAAAACAGATCTGCTCTGTAAACTTCATGTAATCCACAATAAAAATCTTGAAATAAATATTATCTACATGTAAAAAAAAAAAAAGGGTTCGGTGGGGGTTGGGTGGGTGAACAACCATGGAAATGATTTAAATGATTAGCCCTCAAATCTGAGTGTAATGCCATTTAAATTCCTTAAATTCACTGATAAAGAGAAAAATTGTTAAAGCAGACAGAAAAAAAAAGCATATTACATAGAAAACCAAAAGGTAAAAATGGCAATAGATTTATCTCTAAAGCACTGAAAGGAAAAAAAAATCTAGAATTCTTTACCTAGTGAAAATATGTTTTAAACACAAAGAGAACTTTTTTTCCCAACAACTGAACAATGGAGAAACTTTAGCAGCAGCAGGTCATTATAGATGAAATGTTACAGGAAGTCCTCCAAGAGCAGGAACGTGATACCAGACAGAAATACGAATCAATGCAAAAATAAATAAAACACACTGGAAATAGTAAATATATGTTGTTGTTGTTAGGTGTCAAGCTGGTTCCAACTCCTAAGAACCCCATGCACAACAGAAGGGCACAGTGTCTGGTCCTGCGCCCCCCACACAGCTGTTTTGTTGGAACTCTGTTGTTACCATTGTGTCGGCCCATCTTGTTGAAGGTCTTCATATTGCTGTTCCTCCACTTTAGCAAACATGATGTCTTTCTCCAGGAACTGGTCTCTGCTGACGACATGTCCAAAGTACAAGGGATGAAGTCTTGGCATCCTGGCGTGTACAGAACATTCTAACATTCTGGCTGTATTTTGTCCATTGCTGCTGATGGTAAGTACCCTTGAGCCAGTATGATTCATAGTGATCCTGTATAGGGTTTCTGAGGCGGTAAATCTTTAGAGGAGTAAAAAGCATCCTCTTTCTCCCATGGAGAAGCTAGTGGGCTTGAACTGCTGACCTAGTGGTTACCAGCCCAGTAATTAAGGTATAGTGCCACCAGCGCTCGTATTTTTCCCACAGAATCCTTCAAGAGTGCCACCTGAGGCTTGATTTTTTTTTTTTTTTTTCCCTTGAGAAATGCTAAGTGTGTTCTTTTTAGGTTTTCTAACATCCGGTCAGCACATCTTCTGATAACACTTGACTTTGTCTTCTCAAGCTGCCCTTTGAAAAATTCTGTTCAGCTCTTTTGCTTCATAATTTCTTCCCGTTGCTTTAGCTTCTCTACATTCAAGAACAAGTTTCAGAGTCTCTTTTGGCATTCAATTGGGTCTTTCCTTTCTTTCCTGTCTTTTTAAATGACTTTTTGCTTTCTTCACGTATAATGTTCTTGATGTCATTCACAACTCTGGTCATTAGTATTTAATGTATTGATCTGTTCTCGAGGTGATCTCTAAGTTCAGGTGGGATCTACTCAAGGTCATAATTTGGCTCTCATGGACTTGTTTTCATTTTCTTCTTCTTCAATCTTAACTTTGCATATAAGCAACCGATGGTCTGCGTCACAGTCTTCCCCAGCCTTGTTTTTGGCTGATAATACTGTGCTTCTCCATCATCTCTTCCCATATATGTAGTCATTTGATTTCTGTGTATTCCATCTAGAAAGGTCCATGTGTATAGTCACCATTTATTTTGTTTTAAAAAGGTATTTGCAATGACTAAACCATCAGTGGCACACAGTTCTATCATGTGGTCTCCAGCATTGTTTCTATCATCAAGGCCATATTTACCAACTGCTGATCCTCTTTGTTTAACTTTTACATTCCAATCACCAATAATTATCAATGCATTTTGCTTACGTGTTTGATTAATTTCAGATTGAAGAAGCTGGTAGAACTCTTCAATTTCTTCATCATCAACTTTAGTGGTTGGTGTGTAAATTTGAACAATAGTAGCATTAAGTGATCTTCTGTATAGGTGTATAAATATTATCCTATTACAGAAAGCATTGTACTTCAAGATAGATCGTGTTTGACAATGAATGTGATGCCATTCCTCATCAATTTGTCATTCCTGACATAGTAAACCATATGATTGTCTGAGTCATAATCATCAATACCAGTCCATTTCAGCTCACTAATGTGTATGACATCGATCTTTACGGTGATTTCCAATATTCCTAGATCCCTACTTCATACATTCCACATTCCAATTATTACTGGATGCTTGCACTGTTTCTTCTCATTTTGAGTTGTACCCCATCAACAAATGAATGCTCCAAAAGCTTTGCTCCATCCATGTCATCACAGTCAACTCGACTTTGAGGAGGCAGCTCTCCCCCAGTCATATTTTGAGGACCTTCCAACCCGAGAGGCTCATCCTCCAGCACTATATCACACAATGTTCTGTTGTTCATCATAAGGCTTTCAATAACCATTTGCAAGTGGTCTACGTCTCCTTCTTAGTCTTCGTCTATAAGTTCAGCTGAAACCTGTCCACCCTAGATGACCCTGCTGATATTTAAAATACCAGTGGCAGAGTTTCTACCATCATGACACATGAAATTTGCCCCATATGCATGTGAAAGTTGGACAATGAAAAAGGCAGACCATAGAACAATGGATATATTTGAGTTACGGTGTTGGAGGAGAATATTGAAAGTGCTGTGACTGCCAGAAGAACCAACATGTCTACCTGGCAAGAAGTACAGCCAAAGACTCCCTTAGGAAGGAGGACAATGAAACTTTGTCTCTCGTACTCTCATACTTTCAACATGTTGTTAGGAAGGACAAGTCCCTGGAGAAAGACATCATGCTTGGAAAAATAGAGGGTCATTGAAAAAGAAGAAGACCCCAATGAGATGGAATGACACAGGGGCAGCATCAATGGGCTCAAACACAACAACAATTGTGAGGAGAGTGCAGGACTGACTGGACAATGTTCCATTCTGTTGTGCACATGAGTCAGAACCAATTCAACAGCACCTAACAACAACAACAATATTAACTCTAAATAGATCAGCACACATAAAGATGCACGCTATAACCCCTAGAGCACCCAACTAAACAATAAAGTAAGGATTAAGAGGCACTAAGTTCATGTGGAGAGGAAATTTGGAAAAGGATAGTGTTAATGAATGGTTATACAACATTGTGTAATGAGCATGGAATCCATGTCATTCA